TAAGGGAAGATAAAGGTGGTTCAAACATAACTATTTTCAGTTTTTGAAGAAGTAGACTTTCCTCCCTCTGTTTTTGTTTTTAAAATCATTTTATTTTATTAAAGATTTTTTATTTATTTGAGAGCGAGTGAGCAGGGAGGGAGGGGAAGAGAGAGAGAGAATTTCAGGCGGACTCCTCACTAGGTGCAGAGACTGACATGGGGCTTTATCTCAAGACTCTGAGATCACAACCTGAGCTGAAATCAAGTCAAACGCTTAACCGACTCAGCCACCCAGGCAACTCTGTATTTGTTTTTAAAAGTCAGATTTCTTGAGATCCCTGGGTGGCTCAGAGGTTAAATGTCTGCCTTCAGCCCAGGGCATAATGCTGGAGTCCTGGGACTGAGTCCCACATTGGGCTCCCTGCATGGAGCCTGCTTTTCTCTCTGCCTGTGTCTCTGCCTCTTTCTCTCTGTGCCTCTCATGAATAAATAAATAAAATCTTTAAAAAAAAAAGTCAGATTTGTTGAGATGTAATTAATAAAAAAATTTACTCTTTAATTGTATGGTTTGATTGAGTTTTGACAAATCTGTACAGTCATATAATCACCACCAAAATCAAGATTTAGAACATTTCACCGCATAGAGTTCTCTTATGTCCTTTGCTAGTCAAGCTTATCCTCATACACCCGTAGCCCCTAGCAACAGCTGACCTGGTTTCTGCTTTTTCTCAAATGTTCTATAGATGGAATCATACTTATGTTCCATATACTCTTTTGCGTCAGCCTTCTTTCACTTAGCAGAATACTTTTGAGATGCTTATTGCTCATTTTCTGTTGTGTGGATATACTGTTTTTGTCCATTATATTTGGTTCATTGGTCTTTTGGGGCCTTTCCAGTATGAGGTAGATGTAAACTTTCTGTGTATATATTCTGCTATCATAAACAAGCTTCTGTGAACATTCATGCACACTCTATGTGTACATATGTCTCCACTCCTCTGGGGTTTTCTAAAGCAGGTCTACTATTCTGCATTCCTGCCTGCAATGTATGAAAGTTTCAGTTACTTCACATGTTTGTCAGCTCTTAGTATTATCACTCCTTTGCATTTTAGCCATTCTTGTGGATGGGCAGTGCTATTTCATTATAATTTTGTTTTTCCCTAATGACCACTTAGTGATGTGCTTATCGTCCATTTCTCTTTTTTTGTTGTTGTTGTTTTTTTTTTTTAAGATTTTATTTACTTATTCATGAGAGACACACACAGAGAGGCAGAGACACAGAAGGAGATGCAGGCTCCATGCAGGGAGCCCGACATGGGGCTCCATCCCAGGTCTCTAGGATTGCGCCCTGGGCCGAAGGCGGCACTAAACCACTGAGTCACCCGGGCTGCCCCATTTCTCTTCTTTGATGAAGTGTCTGGTCAAATCTTTTGCCCATTTTTAAAGAAATTCAGTCAGTTTTCTTATTGTCTTATGAAAGAGAATTCTTTTTTAAAAAATTATTTATTTATTCATGAGAGACACAGAGAGAGAGAGAGAGAGAGAGAGAGGCAGAGACACAGGCAAAGGGAGAAGCAGGCTCCATGCAGGGAGCCTGATGTGGGACTCAATTCCAGGACCCCAGGATCAAGCCCTGGGCTGAAGGCAGATGCTTAACTGCTGGGCCACCCAGGCATCCACCTGAGATTTTGGACTCAGATCCTTTATGTGTTTTGCAAATATTCTCCCCCAACCTGGGGCTCAACTGCCCTTTCCTTAACAGTGTCTTTCAAATAAATTTATAATTTTGATGAAGTCTAATTCATCTGTTTTTAGTTGTAAGATTTATATTTCTTAAAAAAAAAGATTTATATTTCTTATGTCCTAAGATATCTTTGCCTGGATCAAGATCATTAAGGTTTTCTCTTAGGATTTTTTTATTTTTACACTTTATATTTAGTTTTCATGGTTTTGAATTGATTTTCTTTTTAGTTGTGGGATAGAAGTCAGGTTTATTTGTTTGAATATGGATGTTTAATTGTTTCAGTGCTATTTGTTCATAAACTTTTTGTCATTTAATGTCTTAGCACTTTAAAAAAAAATCCATTAACCCTTTATATATATGTGTCTGAACTCTCATTTTCTTCTATTAATGACTATGTCTATTCTTACACCAGTGTCTTGATTAGTGTAGCTTAATGAAAAGTCTTTTTTTTTTGAAAAAATATTTTATTTAAATTCAATTTACCAACATATAGTATAACACCCAGTGCTCATCTCATCAAGTGATTGAGAAGTCTTAAAGTCAGGGGACATAAGTTCTCCAAATTTGTTAATTTTTCAAAATTATCTTTATTCTATATCCTTGCTTTTCCATGTATTTTAGAATCTGCTACCAAAACAAAACAAAACAAAACAAGCCTGCTGGGATATTGTTTGGAATTACAATGAATATATAAATTGGTTTGGGAGAGAACTTATATCTTAATAATACTAAAACTTCTGTTTCATGAACATGGTGTATGTGTATGTGTGTGTGTGTATCCATTTTTTAGGTCTTTAATTTCTCACAAAATATTGCTTCTGATTTTTGAAAAAGCAAAACCCCTCCTTTCTATTTTCATTTGTTACTTATTTTTTAACAGCCTTATTGAGATATAATTCACATACCATACAATTTGTATGAATTGTACAACTCAGTAGCTTGTGGTATATATTCCCAGAGCTGTGCAGCCATCACCACATTTTAGAACATTTTCGTTGTGTCAAATAAGAAAGCCCATACCCCATAACAGTCACCCCTCAATCCTTCCATCTATCCCCACACCCCCAACCCAAGGCAACCACTAATCTATTTTATGTCTGTATGGATTTTTCTCTTCTGAACATTTCATTCTAAATGGAACTATATAATATGTGATCCTCTATAACTGGCTTTTCAGTTAGTGTGTTTTCAGCCTTCGTCCACATAGTAGCATTTATCAGCATTTCATTCCTTTTTACTATCAAATGATATTCTATTATATGAGCATGATACATTTTGTTTGAACATTCATAAAAATAGTTTTCTTTAGGCAGTGGTAAATTGATTCTTCCTCTACAGAAGTTGAATAGATTGGATTCTTTTCTCAATTCCCCCTCATAAGTCCTAAAAATGACAATTACAGTTTCATTCTGTCACCTCTGTTGATTTAAAATGAATATCAAATATAAATTTTAAATGCTTGCCATTAAAAATTTTTCCTTATAGCTTCTAACTTTCCCTTTTGACAAATAAAACTTTTATAACTGAACATTGGCTTTTTAAAATCTTTTTAAATTTAGAAGCCATGTCAAAGCAAATATTTTTTTCAGTTTTAAAAGGTATCTTTAGCATTTAATATTTGTAAAAACTATTAGGAGCTTCTTTTGGAAATCTTTCATAACATAAGGATTTATTTAATTTGGGGAGAGGTGCTAAATAGATAATTTTAAAATGTATTATTGCTGCTTCACAGATCTTTCTCATCTAGTGTTTTAATAGTAAATAATTTATGAGGTAGTATGATTATCTGACCTTATTTTTAAAACTCATTCAAGGATAGTGGAACCATTAGGGATGGGAGAAAGGAGAAAATACTTAGTACCTACCATGACAGGAATGTTGGTAGAGGGTTTTATATGTTAACTTCTTTAATCTTACAGTACCCTTTTGGATAGATATTTTTACTCTATTTTAGTTTGGCAGCTAAGGTTCAAAGATGTCAAATGCTCCAGCTTAGTTAAGTAGCTCTAACTTAGTAAAACAGCAATGTCAGGTGAGACCCAAGCCAATGTTCCTTTCTTCCCACTATCTAAAGTCCGTATAGATGTATAAGGACACACTAAACACACTAAACAGTAACGTCTCCACATCTTTTTATTTTACTAAGTATTGTTTAAGAGAATTAAGAGAGAGGGAAGGAATCGTTAGGGATCATGTGTCTTGACTTTGCTACAGGGTTATTCTGAACCCTGAACAAACTTAAATATCCCTTTGTTAGGTTGTTTACTGTAGAGTTAAAATATTAGTTATTTTCTTAGCACTCATATACACGAGTTGGGTAATCCGTGAGTGAAAAGGAAGGAAGTAATAACTAACAATACTTATTATTTTATTTTTTTAAGATTTCATTTATTTATTCATGAGAGACACAGAGAGGTAGAGAGGCAGAGGCACAACACGGGCAGAGGAAGAAGCAGGCTTCACGCAGGGAGCCTGATGTGGGACTCCATCCCAGGTCTCCAGGATCAGGCCCTGGGGTGAAGACAATGCTAAACTGCTGAGCCAATATACTTGCCAATACTTGGCGGGTGAAGTATTTCACCCAATACTTATTATTTTAATTTAACATTGCTTTTTTTTTTCTTTCAGTTACTTTTATATTATTTATTTGGAAATTAGAATTTTTCTCTTGAAAGTATCTGTTTTAAAAGATTATGAAGGTTTTCTTACATCTTCATAAATGATGACTTGATGAAATTAGTCATTTATGATCGACAAAAATAGACAGAACTTTTGCAAAGTTCAAATGGACTTTTAATATTCAACACAAAGAATTTTGCCTAATTAAAGCTTCTTTTTAATTAAGATAACAATGCATAGTCCTTCATTAAAATTAACACAGAAAAAGTTCTTTCTTGGTCCTTGGAGAGGATATTATATGCAAGCCCTGATGTTGGGTTGCAAAATGTCACTGGAATTTATATGCATTACTTGTCTAATTGCAGTAAATGTAGCATGTCCAGATAGGTTTAGAGTTAGAAGGCTGTTTGTTACTTACTGGAAATCACTTGAAACCTTAGTACCCAGAGGCAGCTGTGCCCAGGTCCTTCACCTCTCCCCAGAGATGGCTGAGAAGACTCTTGTTGGACCCTGTCTTTCATGGAGGGAGCAGTAAACATGACAGGTTGTTTGGGAGCCATCTGTTTAAAATGGCTGCTGCTTTGTATGCAGCAATGAACTTGAGATCAGTTTTCTGTCTTTCTTCATGGTAACCATCTTACTTGGTGTCACAACAGGTGGAAGTTGATGGGTCGAAACTAAATGTGACCAGCACGTGGAACCTGGCTTCCCCCTTATTGTCTGTCAGTGTCGATGGCACTCAGAGGACGATACAGGTAAGTACTCCTATAATTTATTTTGAGGATTCTGGCAAGTCTAGAATCCTGACTAGCACCTGGGTGGTTAATACTGACAGCTACAGTTGCGCGAAGCCACATTTGTTCATCTCCTACATTTTATCATTGAAAACATTTTTCCTACTTTGGAGGATCTTGAGGCAAGTCTTATTCCAAGGAATCAATATTTCTTTTTTTCAGGCCATCCAGGAAAGTTAGTGTATGTTACCATACTTTGTCCTAAATAAAGTATCCAGTGTGCTTTGCTAAAAATTTTTGTTGCCATTTTGGGTTTGTAGTTATAAAATATGACTTCATTACCTTTCTTTTCTGTGTAATTGAGATTGTGTAGCATTAGATCAGCAGAAAGGCGAGCTATGTTCAGCTTGACTTGCTAGAACACATTGATGCCTTTTAAAAATTGAATGGTCTTAATTTTTTAACCTATATTTTCCCTCCAAAGTATGATTTCTTGCATTGAGAAAATGACTTGAAATCCAGAATTGATTGAATGTTCTTTGTCATCAGTAACCTCCATTTTAAAGTAGACAGCTATTGAAAGAGATTCTGCCCAAATTCATTCAGCTCACCTTAGTTAAGGTTTAGGGCTCCAGGGAAAACAAAACAAAGAACACCATGTAACATGTGATTGTCACATGCAAATGAAAAATCATAACCTTCTCCCCATAGTACTAAATACTTATTCTTTTAGGTTCTTTTTTTTAACACGAAAATATTTTTATGTTTCCTTAACTTGATTTTGCACAGGAAACTGAATTTTATACAGGAAAATGATTTTTAAAACATAGAGAAATCAAGAGAATCACAGATAAAAACTCTCTATACCAGATTCACATATACCTCTATTAGAGATAGAAGCCTCCACTAAATATTTGATAACTAAATTGATTTCTTTTTTTTTTTAATAGGTGTTTTTTTAAATTTTTATTTATTTATGATAGTCACAGAGAGAGAGAGAGAGAGAGAGAGAGAGAGAGAGAGGCAGAGACACAGGCAGAGGGAGAAGCAGGCTCCATGCACCGGGAGGCCGACGTGGGATTCGATCCGGGGTCTCCAGGATCGCGCCCTGGGCCAAAGGCAGGCACCAAACCGCTGCGCCACCCAGGGATCCCACTAAATTGATTTCTAAGCTAGGCCATTGGGTATATTTTCTTTATGGTTCTAAGAAATCTTAACTCTTAGGAATGAGCTGTATATTTTGACTTTGATTTTGTAGCTTGCTACAGTTATTTTATTCTCTCATATTTTCTTATAAATTCTAACTATGAGGTGAAACACTTTAAGATCCTTGGAAAAAATATCACTGCATAATTTCACATTACTTAAGATCCATTTATTGTGTCTTCAAAAAACATGGGTTTATAATACTTGTGTTCCATTGAATGTACTCTGCACTGAATGTACTGTGGCCAGTGACACCTGTTCTGGTTGGGGACATAGAGTAACCTCCCAGGAGTGGGTATAGAGAGGGGAAGGAACTGCTCCCCAAAGCGGCATATCAGGATATTTTCAGTTTCCTTCTCAATGACTGCAGGTAGGTAACTTGATGGCCCTTTCATATGTAGAGTTCCTAGCTATGTTAATGCTGGATATGTATTTAGAATAATTCCCAGAAATATTTTTTTTTATCATAAGGATACTGTTCAGTAAATTCCTTTTTATTCTTAAGTTCTTTGCTTTAAAAAAAAAAAAGTCATTAATCTGAAATCAATGACCCCTTAAGGCAAACCCCCTGACTCTTTAGAGGAGGTCATTGCTTCCAGTTAAATACTATCTCATTGGAAGGAAATAAACTCAGAGAGGTATAATTGGTATACTGGATAAAAACCAAACAAACTTAATTACTCTAAAAAAAGGTGAGGAAAGTTTTTCTTTACCTGAATAGGTGAACTTTATACACTTGTTATGGTCCTTAGCATTCAGTGTTGACATTTTTTATCTCCAAAATGTAATGTGGTCCCCATGAAATTAATAACATAATGAGAATAAATAATACATAATATTTACTCTGTATCAGGTATAGTTCTGAGCACAGTGCATATATATATTGATTTCATCTTCATGGCAACTGTATGAAGTAGGTATTATAATGTATGCTTTCATAAATGAAGCACCTGAGGCTCAGAGAAAGTAAGTGACTTGCTCAAGGTCACATGGCTGATAGCAGGTATAACCAGGATTTACATCCAAGCAGGCTCGCTATGGGACCTATGCTGTTAGGTATCACACTCTGCTGAAGCAGTCTAGGCAACTGTTCTGAGATTACAAATCTAGGAGGAAACTGAGCAAAAATTTGAATGCTGGCACCATAACCCCAGAGTGTGTGCTACATAGTACTATCTTATTTTCTCCTTCAGAGTTCTTCAAATAATATTTTACCTTTCATGCTTTAAGCCAATGATACTCAAACTCTGACATGCTTCAGAATTACCCAGATGGCTGGACCTACCCCTGGAGTTTACCGCAGTGTAGTAGGTCTGGGCTAGGTGTACATTTCTTTTTTCTTTTTTTTTTAAGAGATCTTATTTATTTATTCATGATAGACATAGAGAGAGAGAGAGAGAGAGGCAGAGACACAGGCAGAGGGAGAAGCAGGCTCCATACCAGGAGCTCCACGTGGGACTCGATCCCAGGACTCCAGGATCACGCCCTAGGTGTGCATTTCTTTCTTTTTTTTTTTTAATAAATTAATTTTTATTGGTGTTCAATTTACCAACATACAGAATAACACCCAGTGCTCATCCTAGGTGTGCATTTCTAATAAGTTCTCCAGTCATGCCAATGCTGCTAGTCCAGGGGGAACAGTTTGAGAATCATTGCTTCAGAGAATAAGCTGGGTGTGATGAGCAAAAGTGAAGCAAGTAGGAACCAAGTCATTTGAAGCCTTGCTAATTAATTACATACTGTGGCCTCTGCCTTATCCGTGCGTGGCCAGTGGGACCCGTGGATGAGTGTTCAAAAAGGAAATGGTGTGGAGAGCATTGGAGTTTAGGAAGAGTTTGGTTCTAGTTGCATTGTAGAGAGAGGATGCAAGGAAAATGAGACTGGATGCAGAGAGAGAAGTTAGGACGAGCTTCAAAAACAGAGGAGGGAAATCATCTTGTCTCAGTCTTTTCAGTCAAGACAAGAGCATTGTGTGGTTAAGGGATTTGAAAAGACAGGAGAACGAATACTAGCTTCACAGTGTTCTTTGTGGCTTTCTCTTCCACCTGCCTTAAGCATAGGCAGATCTTCAGGGTTGGTGCCCAGCTGCCTTTTCTCTGTGTTGACTTCCTGGGCTGAGTTGCCCAAGACTTTCAGTTCAATACTTCTAAATAGCTGTGGAAATGCTACTGTGTGTTTCAAAGAACTCTGGGGTGGATATGACCACAGTGTTTTAAAAGTGATTTTATAGTAATAATGACTGGGTTTTTTCCCCCTGGTTTTTTGTGCCTACATTTAAACTTTTTATTATTAAGTATTCTATATACACAAATATGTATTAATCTGTATATAAACTAAAGAAGAATACAGCAAAAACCCAATTACTTACCATCTAGATTAAAAAATACTCCCGACTTTCTCTGTGCTCTTGCTTAATTAAACTGTTCCTCCTGCTCCCCTTGGTGGGTAACTACCATCCCAATTTTTAATTTCATTTTTAAATGCATCCCTTACTTCCTCTTCTTTAGGGATATTATATATACAGTGCAACTGTAAACAATATGTTGTTTAATTTTTGATGTCTTTGGGCTTTGTGTCATTGGCACCATACTCTCTCTTTGCTTCTCTGAGTTGCCTTTTCCTCTAGTATTATGTTTGTGAGATTGGTCATGGGGAGGGATGCATGTAGCTTTATTTATTTCCATGCTATATGTTATTAAGTCATGTAAATATACCATGATTTATTCTTTCTCCCCTAAGTAGATATTTGTGTTACTTATTTTGTTTTCAGAACATTTCTCTGTATGTTTCTTCTTGAAATAAGAGTTTTTCCAAGGAATATGCCAGTAGAACAGCTTGGTTGTAGGGACTATGTATCTTAATCTTACACAGTAATGCCAAATGGTTTTTCCGATGTGGCTGCACCAATGTATATGTCTATCAGTGCTGCTGGTATCAACGATATGAATAATAAGAAAACTTTATTGTATACTTACATACAACATATTACATACAAAACATATTGTATACTATGTCAGGCACTGACTATTCTATACGCTTCATTTGTATTAAAGTATTTAATCCCCGCACCAATCCAATGTACTGGTGTTATCCTGCATTTTGCAGTTGGGGAACTGAGGCCTTCTAGATACTAAATTGCTTGCCCAAGTCATTCTGCTAATAAATGGAAGAGCCAGGATTTGAACCCAGGAATCTGTGCCTTTAACAATTTTGCTTCACATCCTAGATAACTCTTGGTATCCAGACTATGTAAGTTTTTCCTGACTGGTGGGTTTAAATGGTATCTCTTTGTGGTTTTAATATATATTGGTTAGTAATGACAATGAGCATTTGAAAAATATATTTATTGAAAAAAAGTTTAAAAATATATTTATTGATACTGCTTTTTCTCTTTTGCAAACTGCCTCTTCATGGCTTTTGCCCATTTTTTTTATTGGAGTGTTTATCTTTTTATTATTGATTCATAAAACTTCATATTTTGTGAAATCTTGATCCTCTGTTAGTGGCTCATATAGTAATTCTATGTTTAATTTTTAAGGAACCACTATACTGTTACCACAGTAGCTGTACCATTTTAAATTCCCACCAGCAATGCACAAGGATTCTAATTTCTGCACATTTTCACTTATTTTCTAGTGATTTTTTTCTTTTATAACAGTTATCCTAATGGGTTGAAGTGGTACCTCATTATAGAACAAAATTCATTTAGATATTAAGAAAACATTCTGAGTACTTCCTAATACTTGGCCTTCCTTTATCTTTTTTACCATGTAACCACTTTACTGCACAAATGGAACTTTTTTAGTGCAAGTAGA